TGTCTGTTATGCTGATGGTTCTAATAATAATGATAAGACATGATTGTGCCGGCTGCTAGGCAAAGTGAAATGATTCCACTTGTTGGAGTTAAATTTAAAAAAAAAAATACATATCTTATTTATGTATATTTATATGGTAAGAATGAAAAACAGCAAATATGATTCTAACTTGTGAAATTTTTCTCTTGTGCTAAATTTTGCAGCAAAAAAAAAAAAATTCCTAAATTTGTTTACTTTCATGTCTTAACTTTTGTTTTGGAATTTTTAAGTCCATGCAAATGCAAAGGTATTTGTAAATAAATATCTGTATATTTCTGATGTTGGCCTGTCCAGTTTTTTATTTTTATTCGCTGATTGTGGTGGCTTCCATTCTGCAACAGTGATGCGGGATGATGGATGATGACTTTAAATTACATTGTAAGAGATGAAGGGTGGAGTATTTGAATCTTTTAATCTTATATTTTAAAAACTGAGGTGTTGCTTTTGCCTCTGAATGTAGAGATGTTTTGGGGGGGTTCAAAAGACTTTCAATGTGACGTGGTTGTTCATGTCAGCGGTCACAGTAAAATATCTGGATCCCTTTGAGCTAAAAGAAAAGCAAAAGTAACTCAAAGTCCTTACAGCCAAGGTTTGCAGGCGAGCATCTCCGAATGCACCACACATCAAGCCCTGAAGCAGAACAGCACGCAGTCTTCTTTCTGTTCCTCCGGTCAGCTGTGAACAGGAAACTGGTTGTAATTCAGAGGCTCACAAAAGCTGTACACCAAAAGGGTGAAAAAACTTTGCGCTGTGTGATGAGTCACGATTTCTATTGCAACACTTTCAGACACAAATTTGGACAGAATGTGGCGTTAACAACATGAAAAAACGGATCCTTTCTGCCTTAAAGTTTTAGGGTGGTGGTGTAGTAATGTTTTTTTGGTACACTTTGGGGCCAAACAACTTCCTATAAATTATTTAATCATCTAGTTTAATCATTAAGCAACTACTTTTCTGAACACGATAAGCAGTTCACTGCACTCAAATGGCCTCGACAGTCAACATACATCAATCAAACAGAGCACCTTAAAGACATGGTGGAACAGGAGGTTCACATTAGGGGTGTGAAACCAACAAATCTGCAGCGACCGTGTGATCATCATGCCTTAGTTGTTATATACCAGGAAGACTGAAGGAAAAAGGCATCCAATCTAATACTGTCAGTGTGTACCTAATAAAATGACCGTGTATTCACTGCATGTGTGGATTAATTTGAACACAAGAAGCAGGGTGTGCAGGGTTATTTCTGCCCTAATTTATTTATTTATTTTTTTAAAGGTGTTTTATGAAAGAAAACAGATACTCGACAGCAGCTCACAGTTCATGGTGGTGTCCTGTGCACTGAGGCTCTCAGGAACATGTACACTCTAAACAGGTTGCCCATCTGTCACAGGGACAGTCACGCCAATATAAGCCATAATTATTAACACTTACGGACTGTTTGCACCATGTTATAACCTAATAACAATCTAATTCGAGTAGCATCGTTGTGCGTAAGCAGCTTTTTATTGTTTGTTTGATCAGTGGAGATCATTTTAACTAATCTTTGCTACTCTGTAGCTATTGGTTACCGATTAATCTGCTGATAATCTCTTCCCTGTTTTACAAGAACACCATTAGTAAAATGCAGGTAGCCCCAGTCCACCGCTGCAATCACAATATTTCACAGAATACAATTTCCATTTGAAGGATGAGAGAGTAGCTTTTGACCTCAAAATGAAGCCTTCAGTCTTAATGTTTCCTTAGTTAGACTTTCACTTTCACCTCATTGATCTGGGGTCTTGACTAAAGGCTGGTTTGCCAACTTAGATCACTTAATCTCTGGTTTTCCTTCCACAGAGTCTTTTAACCTGTCTCCCTCCCCTCGCCCACAAGTGGCAGCAGGTGGCTCGCCCTCCCTGAGCCTGGTTCTGGGAGGTTTCTTCCTGTTAAAAAGGACTTTTTCCTTCCCACTTACCCCAATGCTAAAGTGATTGTTGGGGTTCTCTGTATCATTGCAGGGTCTTTACCTTGCAATATAAAGCACCTGGAGGTGACTGCTGTTGTGATTTGGCGCTATACTGACTTGAATTGACTGATCCAGGTTGGGAGAATCTGATTGGCTCCAAATTTGCATTAAAACCTCACCCATGCATGCTCTGTGTCTTCAATGTTATGGTTCTCTGGTGTTGTAGGAGGACAACAACGAAATCTTTGTGTCAGCAGCCTACTGCGTACACTTCTGTGTGCCTCGTGTTTCTGTTGCATAAGATCCTGTTTCTGTGTTTTCACAGATTTACTCACGCATTTCTTTTTCAAGACTTTATTCTTTGGAATATTCAAAGCCAGCGCTATAGGTTAGCTTCAACCCCCAAACCGTCTGAACATCTGTAGGTTTGTCTGTTTTTAACACAGCGGCAGAGGTGCAGTAGGACCCTGGGGTGCGGCTGCAGCAGTGTAACAGTGAGCAGACAGGAGGGAGGAGCCTGAATAGAAACCAAACAACCCTCCACACCCTGTGGCCTCTGGGAAGTTTCTCCGCATTCCTGCAATAGATTCAGACACACACACCTAAAAATTAATAGACAGGAAGCTGGAAGGAACCTGAAGCTGAGGCTGGGTAAGTGTGTGCAAGGCTGAGAGTGTGCTGCTCTTTTTCACAACAGCTCATCAGTTGTTGCCTTCATGTCCACTGTTGTGTGTGTGTGTTTGTGTGTGTGCTGAAACAGGAGTTTGGAGGGGCTACTGCTTTAGGACTGGAGACCAGAACCTCATCATCCCCGCCCTGCCAGGTGCTGTATTTTCCTGACTCATCCTCTGTTTTACCGCTGAATGCTTCTCTGTCACTTTCCCCGCCTGCACAAACATAACTCAGTCACAGGAAGTGCTCTACTGCTTTCAGTTACGTCCTCACTAAGCGTATCTCTTGGTCAGTGTGTGTTCAAGTGCAGATACAGTGAAAATAGAGGAAGCTATTTTTCTTTAAACGTTGTTAGAGCTGATATAACCACAGCTTCCACCCAAGAAACTGCAGCATTTGTAGGAAGTTCGTATTTTAAGAGTTCACCAAGTAACTGAAATGACAGCCAAAGCATGCAGATGTCTGCAAAATGACGTGGTGAGCCTCACATGCAAATCTAAAACCTCCCTTGCTTGCCTGGTAGTAACCATAATGTAATAGCTGATGCATAAACATACGCTAGCAATAAATAAGCTGTTATATTATTGTACTCATGGTGTAAATAATGCATTGTAAAAGGTCTCAGTGGAGTCACTTAATATGATAAATAACACGCCTCCATCTTGCCCTGCATTATAAAAAACGCTGCATTTAACGTTATTTATGCTACTTTTGAAGTATATGTTTAGTTAGATACTTTATTGATCACAGGTGGGAAGTAATGTGCTACAGCTGCAGGATGATATTTGTGTGCAGTCTCATGTCTCACAGGTATGTTCACCTGTCACAGAAACAAGAGTTATGATTCAGTTTTAAAGTGAATGGTAGGAATGATTTCCTGAAGCATTTGTCACTGTAGGGCTGGATCAGGTGACTCTGAATCCTCCCTTAGTTATGCTGCAATAAGCCTAGGCTGCTGGGGCTTCTGGGGGTTTCCCATGATGCACTGAGTGTTTCTTCTTCACTCACCTTTTTTTTTCTCCACGTATTATATGGGTATACACACACTCTGCATTTAATCATTAGTTATTATTCATCTCTGGTTCTCTTCCACAGTATGCTTTTGGTCCTGTCTTCCTCCCCTTCTTCCTGTTAAAAGGGTGTTTTTCCTTCCCACTGTCGTGAATTTCCACTGTGTGTTCTGGCTTTCTCCCACTGTCCAGATATATGTATGGCGTTAATTATAATTCTAAAGTGCCCATGAATATGAGGTAAATAAAGTTCTGTATGTATGTGTGGTTAAATGTGACTTGTGTAGTCTCTAAAGTGTTTTGAGTGGTCAGTAAGGCTAGTCTGCTCACAGTGACAGTGTTAACACACAAGTATAGCTCAGGTTGATACAAATGTCATTAGTTGTGTGTGTATTTAGTCATCAATTAAATCTGAAAAATAACTTTTTGACCTTAAATGAAAAGTTGAGGATCAGTGTCTGTGAGCTGTCTATAGCTAACCACAGCCTTGTGATCTTTACAGGATGCACATGCTGAAACTTTAGCCTGCTGGCGGTTTTTGTTATACAGTCATTAGGCATTTATCCTCTGGGTACGGTTAATTTTGTGGCGATCACCATGATCAGTCTTCTTTACCTCTGGAGACCGTGAACAGTCTGTCACAGTTGTCACTGCTGACCCTTGAGCCACGAAGCTAGTGTGACTAAATAAGGGGAATAAGGTGGCGATGTTAGCACTGAGGGTAAGAGCACCAGTTAACATACCGTTTTATTATCATGTGTGTCCAGTCTTATCATGAGTAAGGCAGGCGCTGATGAAGGTGGAGCTGGGGGCTGCAGTGATTCAGCCAAACAGCTGGAGGCTAAAGATGAAAAAGGAGGAAAGTTGCTGAGCAAACCATCTGCTGGATCCGGCTGGACCAAAGTGAGCTGCCCCTGCTGCTTCTCAGAGCGGGTGGAGCCGCTGGTTCTGGTGAAGCTTGGCGGGAAAGTCGGCCCCGAGACGAAGCGCTGGCTCATCAAGGTGATTGGAGCTCCTCAGAAAGATGGAGGTGAGGGCTCAGATATCAGCAACAGCACAGAGCTCACTTCAGTTTCTGCATCGATTGGAAACTCGCTTTCAAAGAAAAAGCATGCGGATCAAACATTTATGAGGATTTCTCTTGTGCCAGGAATGAACGTAATAGGAGAATCATTTCCAGGAAACATTGCTACTCTTTAAACATTTGATTGAATTTGCATTTCCAAGCTACATGTCAGATAAATGCATTTAAATGACTCCTATGAAAATGTCTGACATGGCTGCACAGAAAGCATATGCCAGCCATAAACCACATGTCATATCAGATAAACACACAGACACAAAGAAACTACTCTTTAAGACAATAATATTTATGTTCTTTCACTTTGTTATCATTGTTATGGCAACTAAAGATGTTTGGACGAATGGATAAAAACTGCTCTGTCCACGACTCTTTGCAGTGTTTTGTGTTGAAGCAATGCTATGCAAACTAGACAAACTCTTCTCCACATAACACCTTACTGAAATTCTAGCAGGGACCACAAAGTTGGGAAAGGTTGGGGAAATCTGTATGAAAGGATGAACATTCGTGCTTTATGGTGCAGCGAGAAAAAACAGTTTTATTATTAGACAAGGATGGCCTGAGTAAGTACAAAGTGCAATTTCTAAATTCATTTATTAAAGGAAAAAAGTGGTCTTGTGTAAAAAGGAACTGCCCTCTAAACCCAGTAACTGGTTGTGCCACGTTTGGCAGCAAGAACTTCAACAGCATTTGCGATAAATCTTTCAGATTGGGACAAAAATTCCTTCAGCAATCTTCAAAAAGCCCCTTAAAGTTCTGCTTTTGTCTAATCAGTCCACAGAATATTTCCCTAAAATATTTGGGAATCATCAAGAGTTTTTTTTTTGGGCAAATGTGAGACGAGCCTTTGTCTTCTTCGTGGTCAACACTAGCATGGATGCAATTTTTGCCAAGTCTCTTTCTTCTTGTTGAAACATGAACTCTGACCGTAACTGATTCAAGTGAGACCTGCAGTTCTTAGAATATTTGTATAGGGCTCTTATGTGACCTCCTGTGAGTCGTTGATGTGCTCTTGGAGTGATTTTGATTGGCTGGTCAATCTTGGGAAGGTTCACCGCTGTTCCACGTTTCTTATATC